GTTTGTCGTGCTAGAGTGCGCTCGGTGAGCTGAGCCATGTGGTCGAAAAGAATATCTCCATCCATGCCCAAAGCTCTCTGCTGGAGGAACGCTTGTTTCAATTCCCGTTTGGACGATTCGACGCTGTACCTCTCATACTCAGATTGCAAATGACCAGACGAAGCGCCACCACCCATCTCACGCGCAGATCGGTCTTAGCGCCAAAGCTATCGGGGGTCTGATGGCTGCTAGCGTCCTGGGAGAAAGATACAATGACAGATTCAGTCATCAGATAGATACTGTCAAAAATTAAGCCGTATCACCCCGGGCCCCGGCTTGAGGGGAATCAGCAGTGTCCCTGACCTAGACTGAGAATCTGAAAGTGAGATGGGGCTGCTAAGCAGCCCTGATTCCCAACAGGAGAGGGCTTCTCTATAATGTCTTAACGTGGGATGCTCGAGGTTTATTTCCCGACTCTCCTTTAACTCAACCTCAACTTACTTTCAAGGTCTACTATCAGCCTACTGGACCATAGGCTCAGCCCCAGCTTACTGGACCATAGGCTCAGCCTACTGGACCATAGTGCTCCTAGCCTCCCTGGCTGGCCCTCCCCACTGAGGGCCCTCCCCACTGATCATCATCATGATGATGAGGGGAAGCACCTTCTTGACTTCATCAAGGCAAGGCATGAACTCCCATCTTGCTTGGTTGTTTCTGACGCGCGCGATCTGATGGATATGCGCGCAGATCAGTCTCCACGATCCGAGAAAGTGCGATTCCTCTTCATTACATTCCCATGTAAGCAACCCATTTTTAGTCTCATTCTAACCCTCGGACGCTAAATTGAATCGCGTCGAAGCACGTCCTGCGCACGTTATGGGCTGCGACCGGGGCCCCGGGGGCGGGTCTGAAGACCTTCTTATCTCCGACTAAGCGCGCGGTGGGGCTCAGCGTCCGCGCATTCGTGTGCGCGTCGTCTTAGTCGGCGATAAGAAGGCGATCTTGACGTCGAACGGGGCAGCCTCGGTCGACGGGGCAGCCTCGGTCGACGGTCGTTTCGTGTGGTTTATGTACGAATTCGCCCTTCCCGGGTGGAATTAAGATGCTATTTACGGACATCCGTTGCCCTTGATTGTGGGTTCGAATTTCCACGCGCGCGTGACGACGACGACGACGACGACGACGACGGCGGCGGCGGCGGCGGCGGCGGCGGCGGCGGCGACGGTGACGACGACGACCGACCAACCCAGCCCTACTGAAGGGAATCGACTTGGGGGATGATATACGTTCCCCGATGCTGCGAGAGGTCGATAGACATCAAACTGGGGTCGAGGGGATCAAACGCGCCCCATCCCAGCCCCCGAAGGACCGTCTGAGTCACCATGCGATTTGCAGCACTTCGCGTCTACGCATGTGCTTCAGGCTCACACTAGCGGAGCACGAAGCTGCTGGGATCGTTGCATAATTCCGCCCGCATTATCGCGCGGCTGTGGGCTGATTAAGACGTGGAACCATAGCTTCGTCTTAAAGCTTTCTCGTTAATTTCTCGTTCCGTCCGAGGGTTAGAATGAGTTAGTACGCCTTGTCCGCTCAGGTATCTTCGACCACAACGCTCTTTGACATGGCTACGATCGCAACACAAAAAAGGATGAACGTCGAGATGAATGCGCTGCAAGTGAAATCGGATTGGCATACTAGACAGGTGACTCACGTCTCCAGTTTCGTTACTCTGTGACTCTTAAACGTGTGCAGATGATCATGGAACGGAAAAGGTTGGACGACCTGGACGAGGCCCTAAAGCAGGCGGACGAACAGATTAAAAAATTTAGAATTTCAACTAAAAAAACAGCCGTGGATTTGTTGAACCAGCACCGCTTCACTGCGCAACCCGCCAAGGCTCGGACTGATGGCATTGACCCCTCGAAGCTAGCGGAAACATCTCGAAAGAAGCTGATTTCATCATTTGAACATCGGCTGAATAATATGCGAATCCGGCTGTCACAAACCGAAAACCACAACGAAAAGCTCAAGTCACAAATTGACTCTCTACGGAGGCACAGAATGACATCAAATAAGTCGCGCGAGAAAATAGAACACTCGATCAAGG